AAGTCTGTAAGGGTCGTCGGAGGCTAGTTAGGGTATCCCGAATCCCCTGCAAAAGACTCATGTGTAATGAAAAACTGCTTGGTTTTAATAAGTTTGAGTCCGACATACCACTTCACCCTGCCCAGGAGATGACTTAGAGGGGGAGGGGGAAAGTTGGAAGTACCTAACAGTGTCGTTATTCAAGAAACTGGTAGGAATATTCCAGAAGATGAATAGTATTGAGGAATGGAGAGCCCCCATCACAGGTGATGATGATGTTCTGTGTCTGTGAGGGGTATTGCAATGATAATGAAATGTGACTAACCTAATTAATCCTAAAATGAATGACGACATGCAACAATTATTCAGTGAACTAACCCTAATATGAATGATTTATTTAGATCTAACGATATTTAACCTACTTAAATTTAAATGCAAATGTATTATTTTGATGAGAGTTTTGGGAGTGTCAATTATGTCGTAGATCACATTTTTGTGTGACATAAGTCGTGACGTAATAACCAGCTAGCGTCGAAATAATTTACAATTAACGTTGATTAGATGATATAAAAATATTAAACTGTAGTAGGAGAGATAGTAGGCCAAAACCTCCTTTCTAAGGAAAGGCTTATGTCAGCAGTGGACTACTAAAGGCTGTTGATGTAATATAGGTAAATTTAGGCTGTACTTTAAGATATTACACTTAATGTTACAGACCAAAATTCCTTATTTTAAACCCAGGAATTTACCCGATTGTAATTTACCAACGAGTCACGTGAACGATCGACAAAATTGACATATCCACTTAGTGTTGAAAGTAAAAGAACGCCAAGCCACTGTCCCACTCAATTCCAAGAGAACAGTGCCTAGCAACGATACAATTGTGATAATTTATTTACAAAGTTCGTTAAAACTACTGGACTTGTCTTCTCTGACCATAATTTAAACTGTTTTTTTATTAATACATTTCTGAGACTTTGTGATATTTTTCTATAATTATCTATTACAGTAGGCCTTTCTAAGGCCTATGTCCAGCAGTGGACTATTAAAGACTGTAGATGTGATGTAGGCCATAAATTGTGAATACTAATGATAGTCACATATAATAATGGTATTAAAATACATAACATACATAATACATAAATTAACGCCATCTTGCGAGCATAGAGAAAAATATATTTTAATGAGTGTTCTCACCATACAAATTCATCTATATACGTAAATGGTGGAATATTTTCTTAAACTTTAAATGTCAAAACACACAAAAAAATATCCGAATTAAGATCTCCGTTTAGTTGTCTAAAAATTTACTGATTTGGATATTATTATGTTGATTGAGATTATGTTTGATCTAAAATCCTGCAAAAGCCGTGTTACTTCTGTTCTTATGAAGACTACCCCAAAGTGATTGTGTTAAAAAATTAAAAGCCTCAGCTCAAGGTGGTGTACTCCTCATATGTTGGAAAAACAGAGAAACTATATTTGATATATAAATAAAACATATACATACAAATATGTACCTAATAGAAATAATAATAGAATGGAAAATATATATATAATCAGGATATTATATAGCTGTGAGATAAGCGGGCAGCACAGGACCGTTTGTTATGGGTAAACTTGAGGGAGCAGTATGTCCAGCAGTTTGAGAAGAAGATATTAATATATTTTATGTGTATGTATATCAAGAATTTATCAAGTCTTTAACGCGCTATGTTAAAAAGTCTTGGTAGTGACTTCTAAAACACTCCAAATTGTCCTCAGATATATGTATAGGTTGTTAAGATGACAATGGAATAGATGACCTGTCAAGTCAAATCAGTAAATTTTTATTAAACGTCAAAGAGTTAGATGCGGACTTCAACTTTTGGTTAATGGCTTTGTGGTAGAATGTAACCATAATTTCGCCAATGTCATGTATTTGAAAGACAAACTGTCAAAGGATTTTAGGTAGAGTTGTGGTAGAGCCAAAAAAAAATTTTGAGAATGAAAGAATAAGAATAAATTAATTGTTATCTTTTTATCATTGTTTAGATGCGGTTTATTTCTGTATGAAATACTAAGACGTGACGTCATAAACTATTGTCAAATCATTTAGTTTTGACGTTGATTTGAAGATTTAAAAACATTACATTCATCATGGAGGATAATTTAAAGATTCAGGCAAAATAATTCAGAATCTACACTCTATACTATAATTTGTCATCTACGAGATGAATTGATTAGCCAGAAGGTGGTTAGAGGGAATCTTTTATTGATTGGCAGTATACTATTTAAGGTTGTAACTATAATTTATAGCAAGACCAAGAGTAACGTAGGCCAAACTGGTATTCTTCTGAATACACCCACCAAATGTAACCTCCATCGCCGCTTTTATTTCGTATTACTGTGTCTAAGACTTAATCAAAATATGTTAACTAAATATTTTGACAAGGAAATAAATTTTAATAAGCTTTTATTGGCGTTATTTATTTTCACAAGATGGCGCAAGTTGTCAATACGACATGTTATATATGTATGTTATGTATATACTTACATTTATCATATAATAACGAAATGACAAATTATTTCAAATAACGAATTTTCAGATTTGATCAGAATTCAGGTTTGAATATAATATTTAAGATTTTGCGGTATTTAAAAATGATTTATATTTTTGTGGATGTTAATAGTGAAAGTGATGGGTTGCTATATTAAAAAGACATATAAAACTGGCACCAAAACTTATGAGTTATGGAAGACGTTCTAATGGGAAGATGTCAATAGTGTGTCCTTGGTGTTAATATCTATTTGCTGTAGGTAGAATGTTTTTTTCAGAAATTTAAATCTATTATTTAGGTAATGAACAGTTTAAAAATTATACACTACTATAAATTGATGATTTAAAACAATCATAATCACAATAAATGTTAAACAAAAAATGCTACCTTCCGTAGCAGTCACAAAAATTCATAGATAATGTTAAGTCTCGTTTTTTTACCTACGCTAGTGATGTACTTTGATGAATAGATTAGTCGATTAACGTTTAGACTATTTATCGACTGCTCATTACCCAAGTTGTTTAGTGTAACATACATTTATTAATAATTTATTTACCCATAGTATATAATGTATAATATCATATCACCTATACTAATGTGGCGCTGTTACGCATAAGTCAATAAATATAGAATAGTACTAACATTACCTGACACTAACTGAATATTACAATTATATATCTTTTTTTATTTAAAACCCGCATATTTTGAATTTTGCTTCTCAAAACGAATATTTTGACAATCGTTTTTGTGTACTTTTAGGGAGTAATTTCTCTATATTTTTAATTTTTCTTTGTATAAGTGTAAAAAAAGCAAAATCCAAAATATCGTTATTATTATACGTCCGAGACCTTACACAATACGTATCCGAATAAATATTTTATTTAAGTATAAAATTAAAAAACACAACTGCTTTTATGCTTTCGATATTCGTGCGTTAAGTCTATGCTCTTCATGATTCCGATAATCGATTTATTTTATACAACATTTTTAAATCGATATCAAATCGACCGAATCTTCTAGACCGATTATAACTGGCAACATTTAATACAAAGATGTTGCCAAGTTTATCGTTGTTTTTTTTTTACTTTTTTTCTCGCCCTAGATGGGCAACACTATAATATTACGAAATACGTCATTTTCATCACAATTAACCGCGTCTACAATTATGAACATATATTTTATTTTAAATACATTTTCCATAGAATGATATTATAACTAAATATAATGGAAAATCGCAGTATTATATGTAATACAAAAGATTAATAATAAATATCACAAACTTGATTAAAGGGCTTCAAAAATGTCGAGGCCTTAAAAAAACAATTCCTAAGTAGATTATTATAGATTTGTATATTAATACAAAGCGGTTTTAAGAGATATGAACACAAAATCTAACCATTTTTTTGACAGTTGACATATAGGTTATTATGGTAGGCCCTATTCAGTTATCCCGAGTTACAATAATGTACAATAAAAAAAAAAACAATTAGACCATAATGCATAGGCAAACGTTAACCGAAGAAAAACTTCCAAAATTGAAAATCAATTTCTGATGCGGTATTTTTACATCATTACAATACAAGAAATTTATCACTGATAGAGGCGCCACTAGTGTGTTAAAACATATTCCCATCTTATCACACTAAAACTCTTTTAAATCCACCAACTTATAACTTATTTTTGTATAAGCAATGTTTTTTAAACCCATAGCTTACTCTTTCAACATAACAAATTTTTAAAGTGTTAATACTCCAAAAGTGGCGCCATCTTTTTTAATCACTTGCATATAAATGTCGAAACGCCTCACACCATAGCTACAATCGATTCATAGTACAAATTTCAATATCAAACAATGTCTAATATAAAATTCTATTTAACATTGTAAAGATTTGAAAGTACGGAGGTGAGGAACACCATCCCTGTGAAAAGGTGTCCGTTAAAATATGTAGGTGGCGCTACTGAGAGGAAGGACACATTTTTGCTTTCTATTAACATGGCACAGACATTTCAAATAATTTGAAAAAAGGATCACAAATTTATGACTTTATATTATATTGTTACCAAATTATTGATTGTTATTTTTTAAAATATATGTTAAAAACTATGTTAAGTTTATTTAAAATATTTTATAAAGAGAGGGAGAGAGACAGTAACCAAAATCAGATGCGGTCAATTACCGATAAATAAACTGACACCTGTCAATTGATATCATACTTTTAACCTTGTACTAAACAAAACAGAACTGACAATTAATCTATTAGCAAAGTTATTAATGAAATTGATGTTTACCATAATTTTTACTAACATTAAATATTGTTTAAATTGAAAATATTTTTTATAAAATTAGTCGATATAGCTTTTGAGAGAAAGAAAAAATGGCTCAACGCGCCTCAGTCTTTCTGTAACTTAGAAGTTTTAATATTCTTAACAAGCTTTTTGGAGTCTTCCCTCTTCACGATACAAGATGGTGCTCCCCAACCTCTACTGATTACAACGGTTAGTGATAGTCCTACAGTCAATAGCATAGAGGAGTGCCATGTCCACACACTTGGTGTGCGTGGTGCAGCGGTCGGTACAATAAGATATATGTTCACATGCGCGAGAGTGTGGACTAGCATCGTGAGCGCGGCCCGCAGCCTTACCTGCGAGCGAACTCCGCCTTCATTGCTGTGGGAGGAAAAGACAATCCGTTAAGTTTTTATTATAATAATAATAATTTTACACATCTCACACATTTTCCCTAATGTCTATTGTTTGATTAAAGGACTCGTATTTTTTAATAATAGGAACCACATTTTTTGTATTGTTTTTCTTGTTTCTTAAGTTGTACAGTCAATTCAGGATTATAAATATGAAAATAAATATTTCGGATATCTGACACACAACGCCACCTAGTTTCAAACTGAGCAGAGCTTGTACTATGAAAGCTAGATTGTCTGATAGAATACTTTTATACTTTTTTTGTAAGTACATACATATTATACATAGTAAACACTCAAACTCAGAAAAATATATTTGAAGATCATACAAACATTTGATCCGACTCAGAAACGAACCCGACTTCAGCACAGCAGTCGCATACGCTACCACTTTACCACCGAGGCAGTCGATTACAAATCAATGCAAGTTGTCAAGACAACATTAGCTTGTAAATATAAACTAGTTTTTATGATATGGGTGGCAAACCCATACTATCGCCCATGGTCATCTGAAACTCAGGAGTTCCAAGTGCTTTCGGAATTTGAGGAGAGAATACGCGCACTATATATCTGTCAATGTATAAAATCCATCTGTCAGTGTCGATCTTTAGATACTCGAATCTAAATCTATAAAAGAAGCAACCTCCAGACTTATTCACTGAGTGATGGATGAACGCACAGCTGCAACCGCTGGGCCTAGAATCATCAAATTTTGCACGAATATTCCTTAGGAACCTAATTCAGGTATTCGCTAAAAAATGTTTTTTTTTAAATTCCACCCCTAAGGTTGCAAAATGGTGGTTGGAAATTTATATGAAACTTCATTATTTTTGGTAGTAGTGTTTTCAAACTCACAGTAACTTTTTAGTTTGATTTTTTTTTATGTTAGTTGACTCCGTGAACGTCTGCATTGTATTTTCTACGATGTCTGATGTCGAACACAACGCGGAGACGAAGTCGCTGGCAAAACTTAGTATCTAATATTTTAATAAGATTACCTCCTGATGGGAAGATTCCCACACTCCCATGGGTCACATCATTGTGGCTTATACACCCATTTATTGATGGTTTAAGTTCTCATAACATATACTTTGGCCAGTCTCTTTTATATTGATCTTACATTGCGTTGTGGACCTTTAAATATCGACTGCTCGGAGGGCGCTCGTAGTGGTTTAAGCGGTCGCCACGGGGCTTGCAGTAGCAAGCGGCGTGTTGTGGGTTCGATCCCCACATGGGATACCACTTTGTGTGATCTACAAATTGTTGTTCTGAATCTGGGTGTTCTTTGTGTCCGTTTCATGTATGTTTGTAAAGTCCCCCGCGACACCGGATAAATCTTCCTAATACGGGAGTTGTCTGATTGTATAAAGGGCTTAGTGGTTTGAGTGGTCACCTGAATGTTGTGGGTTCGATCCCCACATGGAATAACACTGTATGCTCCACAAATTGTTGATCTGAGTCTGGGAGTTCTTTGGGTCAATTTGATAAATGTTTTTAAAGTCCAAGGATATATTCCCAGATAACGTACCGTCTAACAGTTCCTTCTTCATCTGATTGAACTGCTGTCTAATCTCCCGCAGCATCTCCTGTTTGAACGCGTCAATCTCTGCCGCGGTCATACAACCACCTTCGTTGCCTCCGTTTACTTGCTAAACACAATAAACATACAATTTTAATTTAAATAATACATATATTTACAATAACATAGTGGCAAATTTGACATTTTGCTATCTACACTTGTATAAGGAGAACTTTTATATCATCATCATCATCATCACCAGCCTATAACAGTCCACTGCTGGACATAGGCCTCTCCTTAGAAAGGAGGTTTTGGCCTACTATACCACGCTGGCCAGACGGGTTGGTACAGGGTTTGTTTCAAGTTTTCCTTCTCTTTGCAGTGCTGTTGTCCCGCGTAATTTGCTCCTTCAGTCGGCTCTTACGACACCCACAGGATGAATAGGGGTGTTGACATTCCGTATTCTTAATCCGTCTCCACACGGACATGAACTTTTATATGAGTTAAGAACAAGTAAGGAAATGGAAGGGAGGATGGGGTCTCCAGTAACTAACTTCACTCACTCTGTGACGAAAGATCTGCTAAACACAGATTAGCAAGCTATGACGTCACAGGTCGTTATTTAACACAAAGTATGTAGGTAATACATCGTTTTGACGTCTCCGGGAGTTGTCAACTGTCAAAAATAGTTTTAAACGCTCCATGTGTTTAAAATTACACCCGTTAAGTAATATTTAATTCATTATTTTACCCTTAAAAGCATATTTTAAACTTATATAAAAAATACCCCACAAAAACAGGATATCACGGTCACGTGACGACGTATGACGTCATCGTACTTTATATTTTGTATGAAAATTTAATACAAATTTTAACATTTCTCTATTCCGAACAACATAATAAAGAAAAACTAGAATAGTTTGCCACAAATTCAAATAACTTATCTACGCCATATTATTATTTCTATTTTCGCGCCAACTATGAGCTGTCAAAATTGTACAATTATGACACGTTTTCTGATTGGTGTTTGTAATCTCGTGACCTATTTTTGTCAAGAGAAAATAAATGAGTAATTATCTTTACTTCATTTTATACTATATTAGGATATATGATATACTGAGGATTTAAAGAGAGCGTTATATGCAGGTTCCTTTAAAATAAAATTAAAAGCTTTCCTTGTGGACAGATTCCGTTATACTATTGATAAATTGTAACATAGAGTGAATTTATCTGAATTAAATTATCCAAAATATGTATATGTAAGATAACCAGTGAAATTATATTATTTAGACATTTTTTCATTATTACTATTATATTATCATTAATATACAGTCATACTGTTTTAAAATACTAATGAAATTGCATGAATGATAATTAATGATGATACAATTACGTTTTTTTTTGTTTAATTATTATTACTATTATTTTATTAATTATTTTAAATTCAAATACAATGTAATTTGTTTATGAATAAATGACTATGAATATATTTTTGTTCAATTTTGAAACATTCCAGTCATTGAAGGTAGCTTACTTTAAGTATGGTCTCCTCGCTGGCTGAGCCGAATCTCTTGCGAACAGAGCGAGGTGACTGGGGCGCTTGCTGCGTTGTTGACTCCGAATTAGCTGCAATAAATTACATGTTCGTATGTTCATTAAACATTTTACCAACTATTTATATGTATATATGCAATTTTAACAAGTATTACGTAAAGCAATTGCCAGCTCAATTAAAAATAATACAATAATAATCGTTTATTTAAGGGAAAATCACCCATAAAATTTACATCACAAATGTTTTCTTTTTATTAATTAAAATTACATGGCTATCATAACTACATAATGTCACTACATATTTATTTTTAAATAATTAAATATATTTAGAAAAATTAAAATATAAAATCATTATCAGCTGGAAACATCTTTTTTTTAAGACAGTTCCTATGAAATATCCGTGGTGTTGCGTGGGACTTTATAAACAAACATGGAAAGGACACAAACTCAGACTCAGAACAAAGATTTGTATACTGCACAGATGGCGTACTGGTTTAAGCGGTCAGTGGCCGCTAATTGCACTGAGTGTTCCATTCGAACATGGGACAATACTGTGTAATCCACAGATTGTGAATCCCAGTCTGGGTGTTCTTTGTGTCCTTTTCATGAATGTTTGTGAAGTTCCCCGCGATACAGGATATATTCCTATTGTGAAAGTTGTCTTTATCAATCAGTTACAAAAAAAAAAACAAATTCTAAGTAATTCACTCCTGCGGTATCAGATCGATACGACCTTCAAACCTTCAAGAAAAGAGCGTACTCCTTCCTTAAAGGCCAGCAACGATCATGAGATTCCTGAGTTACTTTCCATCTTGCGATCTGTCTGCTCGTTTGGGTCCTCTATCTATACAAATAAATAAAATTGGAGTGTCTGTTTGTAATATTAAAATAACCACTTTTTAATAAATGCATATGTATGTTTACACGGTACATATGCCAAAATATCATTTTTTACAATTTTTGTCTGTCTGTCTGTCTGTTTGTTCCGGGTAATCTCTGGAACGGCTGGACCGATTTCGACGGGACTTTCACTGGCAGATAGCTGATGACATAAGGAGTAACTTAGGCTACTTTTTTTAGACTAGCTTCACCCCGCGGCCCCGTAAGACCGCGGGTCTCAGCTAGTCATAAAATAATAATAATAATAATGTAGCAAAAGAAATAGAAGCGCTGCGACTCACAAGTGTTGCCATTACATGCGGCGTTGGGCAGGCGATGCGGCAACGTCGCCGAGCGCTCCCACGTCTTCATCGGCGTGTTGCTCACAGAGTTGTCCGCTGAAGACTCCTGGATCAATATAACAGAACATGTGTCATTGTAATAATAAGTATAATATTGTACCACATTCACACAACGCCATCTAGTCCCAAACTAAGCAGAGCTTGTACTATGGGTACTAGATTACTGATATAAATACATATATACTTTTTTTTTTCTAAATACATACTTATTATACATAGAAACACCCAGACCAAATCAAACATTAAATGTTCATGCACACAAATGTTTGACTTGAGCGGGAATCGAACCCGCGACCTTTGGAATAGCAGTCTGTTACACAAACCACTACGCCATTCGGTCGTCATAGGCCTGCTACAATCTATAAAAATTAGCTGAACCCTGCCACGCTTCGCTGACGAGCAAAATTGATAAGATATAAGATATATATAAGATATCGCGTGTCAGAATTTAAGCTTAATTGGTACAGAAGTTTTTTTGAAGAATTGAGTTTTTGAAGCATACACAAACCAACATAACATTTTTATATGTATTTTATAAGATTTTATTTATATTGTGACCATAGTCTGTAGATATTAAGAGCGTGGAGAGCGGTAACTTCGGCCAAGGTGTGGACAGACGTGTTGTTGACCAGGAGAAGTTAGTGGTTGCGCCTGCGCAGCACGTTGGTGCTGCGCAGGCGCATGTCAACATGTCAACAAAACAAAAAATGGTCAAACTAGTCTATATCATGCGTAGTCATCGTAGTTTACCATCAGTAGTATCACAGAGTAACAATGTTTCACAGAGTCCCCCCCTCCCCCTACCTAAGAATTATTTAACACCTGTTTTCTGTGTTGACGTGGTATTACTTCGGTCGAGCATGGCTCATGTGGTTAAGCTCTTCTATCTATACCCATTTAAGATAAAGTTCCCATAATATCAAGGATGGGTGACCCTTACCTCAGCTTTATCCAAGTGTGCTCGTCGCCTGGCGAGGGTGCGCTGCATCTCGTTCATCATGCACGACAACGTGCCGCGAGCCGCCGAACAGGACGACGAAGACGACGAGCCTGAGTGCTCCGCTCCCCCAGGGGGGGACGCTGCTTCTGTCGCCTGACCGTTAGTTTGCTGCTGGAAACATAATAATAAATGTACCTTCTAGGAAAACTTTCTGAAAAGTGCTACCTTAGTAGGTTGGATACCAGGACTAGACAAAATTTTATAGGGTTTTTCTTTAGGTTAAGTTACTCCTTATGTAGACAACTACCTAGTAGTAAAATATTATCAAAATTGGTCCAGCACTTTAGAAGATTGCCTGGAACAAACAGACAGACAGAAATGACGTCCGCCGGCCGGCATTAAATCCGCCTTTGTGCTAAATGTGCATTAACTTTTAAATAAATAGAGTACAAAATTGATCGTGTGTCTTAGTCTCTCGTCCTGTCTCCAAATTAAATGTCAATGATGCCCAATTTAATCACATGAGAGTGATGAGGATTTTTTTCAGAAACCATAGTATGCCTTGACCTTTTACAGTATATTAAAAAGCAAGTAAATTTGTGTTAGCGCTCACCTTAGCCTGTCTCTTGAGTCGCGCCTGCTGCAGCTGCGCGGCGAGCCCCGTGGCGTCCGGCGGGGGCGCGGGCGCGGGCGGCGGGGGCGGCGGAGGGGGGGACGTCACGGCAGCGGCCGGCGCCGCGGGCGCTCCGCTCCCGGGGGGCGGGGGAGGCGGAGGGGGGCCGCTAGATACCGTCGGCGCTGCCGCGGGAGCGGCGGCAGCTTGCGGTTGTGGCATCTACGGAAGGACAATAATGCAGAAGGCAGTTCTCCTTGAGACGGCTCCTATAGTAACGGGGTTCCTGTCTGTGGAATGTCGGTGGTCTAATTTTTTTTTTTCAAATGTATTTTTTTTATTGAAAAATCTAATCAATGTGTCTATAATGTAAGAAAGAGAATAATTGTATCTCACACATCTCACACGCGGTCGCCTGATCCCAAACCCGGCAGACCCTTTACTATGGTAACCAGATAATATTTGTAATATCATGTCTAAATTCAGGCCCCTCTTTCCCACTGGGCACGTGCAAAGGGCCCCTCGATGGATAGAGGCCCCCTAATTCCTACCTACCTACCTAATTCGATAATCGGATATTTATTTAGAAAAATCCAGCGAAAATGGCTGATTATAATACCTTTTCTGGCTATTCTAACAGAATACTAATCAGTCAAGATCGTAGCCCCCTTATCCCAATGTGCCCAGGCCCTCCGATAGGCTAAAGACGGCCCTGTCTAAATTGTCACACGCGTTCAATGGAAACCAGGTAAGAGTTCCTTAACACCGGTTTTTTGTAAAGCCGTGGTATAACTCGGGACGAGCTCATGCGTGTTGAAGCATAGATATCATTCAAGGATTATTTATGAAAGAAATGAAATGATATTTATTTCTGTAAGTATTATAAATATTTTCAGATATTTTTAAAAGTCGAACTTTACAGCTAGATGGAGCTGGCGTATGCGATCAGCCTTTTAGAAAACGAAAGAAGACTAAGAAGGCGTCTCACATTTTAATATAGTGTATAGTGTGTAGCTGCAGCTGGGACGTTATGACTTGTTAACTGGAGCGCAATGGCAGAGAACATCGGTTCCCAAGGGTTTTTATTACGCGGACTAAGAATTCAGACACTCGATTTTTTGTATCAAACTGAGTCACACATCATCATCATCATCAACAGCCTTTAATAGTCCACTGCTGGACATAGGCCTCTCCTTAGAAAAGAGGTTTTGGCCTACTATACGACGCAGGCCAGACTGGTTGGTATAGGGTTTGTGTCAAATATTCCTTTTCTCTGCAGTGCTGTTATTCTGCGTAGTTTTCTCCCTCAGTCGGCTGTTACGACACCCACGGGATGAACAGGGGTGTGACACTGTATTCTTAATCCGTCACCACACGAATTAACAAACTAAGTAATGTTAATAATTGCCTCAAATTGAAACAATGTAAGCAATTAATATTATTAAAAAAAAAAGATAAATAAATACCTGTGTGAGCTATTTTTTTTATCAATTAATCATTGTTCTACTCCGCGCTATAAACAGCGCTGTTATTCTAACACTCAAAGTAATCTACAATGATAGTGCGCCATCTCACAACATCATCATCAAGGACAGCCTTTAGTAGTCCACTGGATGGACATAGGCCTCTTCTTAGATAGGAGGTTTTGGCCTAGTATACCACGCTGGCTGGGTTGGAGTTTTCCTTCACTTTTCAGTGCTGTTGTCCTGCGTAGTTTGCTCCCTTAATAGACTCCTGCGACACCCACAGGATATATTCTTAATCCGTCACCACACGGATAACACAAGATCTCACAATAAGAGAGAAACCCAGAAATGGATTTCGAAAAATATGTTCGCTCTTATCTAAATGTCACACACGAAACAGTTTTACTTTAAGACGCGCCCGAAACCAACCGACAGCAAAAACGTCACATTTAACATTGAATCGAATAATTGCCAATGTAGTACGTAATCAAATTAACGAATTAATAAAGGACTACGTCATCCATTGACCTAATTTTTTTGTTGTTGTTATTGTGATATTTCTAGAATTGCCTATTGCCTAATATTTATTTAGTTGCTATTTTTTATTTAGCTGTATTGTATTCAATATTTAATTAATTAATTACTAATTTAGTCCATGTGGTGATGGATTAAGAATACAGAGTATCTTTTTTATTTTTTTTAAGAAAACTACGCAGGACAATAGCACTGCAAAGAGACGGAAAACTTGTCAAAAAATTATACCAACCCGTATGGCCAGCGTTGTATAGTAGGCGAAAACCTCTTTTCTAAGGAGAGGCCTATGACCTGTTGTTTTGAAATATATTTTCCCTGTTGATGGCAATGGTAAATTACAGGAGGTAGCAGTATTCGAACTACTCATTTTATTCTTAGATGTGACAAGGGGCGGGAGGGGGTCCTAGCTTTTGTGACGTCACATTTCAAAGCCATTAATACATTTGAATATTAAAACGCGAAATTTGAATTAATAACATTAATTATTCATTGTTTAGTTTTGTTATTTTTTCAAAATTTTGTTTTGATGTTTATTTTATTTATATATATAATTTAAAGGGTAATAAAACTGATTTGTGAACTGCTATTCTAATTAAAAAATTTCTGGTGTGAAATTGCAAAACATGTTATGTCACCCTAGGGGGCCCACAAATATGACCAGCTGTGACAAGGACGGGGGTGGGGATCAAAAATCCATTATATTAGTGTGACGTAATTTATGGGTGGATCCTTATCTGCCTTTTCTTTCAATACTCCCTCTCTTTTTCTAACTAAGCCTTAAAGTATTCTGTTGACGGAAGCACACTTGTCCCTTGGGTGCAAAATGAAAATTATAATTTTATAATAATAATAAACAACTTACCATTGGAGGTGGTTGAGGTGCAGCTTGTGGTGTAGGTGGCGCTAGTGGACCCTAAAAATGTAAACAGATTATAAAAGATGTTTAAGGTGTCAAGAAAAAGGTTATTAATTTATTAAAATTTGTGATTAAGTTCAATCCACTTTGTACAAGTATCTTGACATCCTAACTAATGTTATAAATGTCAAGCTAAGTATGTTTGTTTGTTACACTTTCACGCCGAACTACTTAATCGATAATCATGAAATTTGGCACACACATTCTCAGAGGTACAGAAAATAACGAGTAATTTACAGAAGCCTAGTGTAGTGAAGTGGAGTACTTACGTTGGAGGGGGGCGGCAGGTTCTGGTGCGGCGGCACGGGGGGCGGCGCCGGCGCGCCCGCCGCCGACAGCGACATGTTGGGCGGCATCGGCGCGCTGACGGACACACGGACAGGTCATCATATTATATCACCATTATAAGGGTTAAGTGTTAATGTCACACGCATTTTTTACGCTTCCTACAAGGCATTATCTACCAATCAACCTTTAGATGGCTCAGTAAGGGACATGGCAGGTGCATATGTACAAAGAAAAGTAGAAAAGAAGCCATGGACTAAACATTTATAAATATAAAATTACAATTAATAGTGTTATTTATACGTATATACACATCGCTCCTAGAAGCCTGTGAACGCCCAGGAGGCTTCTGCGCTTCTGGAAGGAGCTTGGTTGGCTCACGTAGCTAACCAATCCTCGACGAATAAAGGACCACTGACCAAGGACCAGGTGACGAGATCATGAGCATATTTCTGATAGCTTTTTCTTAAAAAAAAAACTCTGACTTTAGACTTTTTTTTATTTAGCAATATGCTAAGAGAAATTCAGTGCCAAACTTAGGTGTATTACACTAGTTTATTTTTCTGTTTTTGGTTAATTTGTAGTATTATAATTATTCCGTGTGGTATTCTGTCCTATTCATTAGGTGGGTGTCGTAAGAGCCGACTAAGGGAGTAAACTGCGCAGGACAACGGCACTGGAAAGAAAAGGAAAACTCACAAACCCTATACCAAACCGGCTGGCCAGCGTGGTATAGTAGGCCAAAACTTCCTTTCTAAGGAGAGGCTTAACCAGCAGTGGACTGTTAAAGGCTGTTGATGATAATGATGATTTAGAATAGAGAGTGTCACCGCCCCTATTCATTAGGTGGATGTCGTAAGAGCCAACAAAGGGGGCTAACTATGTAGGACAACGTCACTGGAAAGAGAAGGAAAACTTGATACAAGCCCTATAAGAACCCGTCTGGCCAGCGTGGTACAGTAGGCCAAAACCACCTTTCTAAGGAGAAGCTTATGTCCAGCAATGGATTGTTAAAGGCTGATGATGTGTAACACTGTCCGATCGTTTTCCTGTAGTCTGTGAGAATGATTTCGTGAAGAAGGACGGAAATGTGTAACAGGATGCGCGCTATTTGATTTGACCAATGAGCGCGGTGCTAGAGTTGCCTGGCAGATGAGAGTGAGTGAGATGTCGGATGTTACGTGACACATCGCTTGCGACTACTGCCAACCTTGCTCGGTTTTCTATTCGACTAATTTTCATATCGACTGTATTTATGCGTCTATGAAAATCAAAAACATAAATCAAATAAATGTAAACATTTGCCCACAAATAAATAGCTCTTTTACAAAATTAACAAACCTATATATTCCTAATATGGCCCAATATTTATGTTACATTAGCAATAAATATAAAACAATATTTTACAAACCAATTTTAGAAAATATTTAAAGGTAATAAAAAATAATACATTTAATTGAACGTCGAAAACCAATTACAACGCCATCTACCAGACACAATATTTAACAATTGATCTATAGATCACAACTCTAGCAGGTGATAACAAAAGTGATTGGTACTGTGGATGCTCACCTATTAGTACGATGGTGTCCTGGTGTTTGATGAACCACTGGCTGACTCGGCTGGTGAGGCAGGGTGTGGTGCACGCCGTGTGGGGGTGGGGCAGGGGGTGCTGGCTGTTGGGGCTGTAATCATATTGATTGAATAGTACCACGTCCAAATGTATCTAAGTATCCGTCTTCTAGAATTTATGATTAGTTTGGGTCCAGTGATGGCTATCATATTTAAAGAATATTATCATTACTACACCGGTGGTAAAAGTTATTCAAATTAAGAAAAACAATACCTAAATCAAAAAGAAAGAGAAGCAATTGAGAGACGGGGAACAAAAAAGTGTGTTCGTTGGCAATTATTTATCATGTTTTAGTCCTTTTTTATGTAGTACTCAATTATACGTATTATAATGGAGAAACTGGAGAGGCCTATGGCTCCAGCAGTAGACTGCGATAGGATGATGAAGATGATACATATAATGTATAATAAGCCCTTCTTCTTTTCTTTCATGCAGACGAAAATAAAAAGTTTTTACTAAAGATAGAATTTGAACGACGACAAGAAAATTGTAAAGAACTGTGACAACAATCACCTGATGGTGTTGGTGTGGCGCATGGTACTGGCTCGGCTGCGGCTGCGGATGGTACTGTGGTTGCTGGACAGGGTGCTGATGTTGTTGATTGTGTGGAGCGTGGTACTGAGGCTGCTGGAATATCGCCGCGTCTTCGCGGGTCATTGTTCTGGCAGAAAAGACAGAGGTATAACAAAGTTGGTTTCGGTTAAAAAGCAACTACGTCCAAAATCTGATTCGTATGATATATATATTGTGCTCCAGAATCTGCAGTTAGATGAAATCAGCCGTAATTTTAAACACACCAGATTAATTCTTTGGAAGAAAGGTTTTAGAATAAGGACCACAACCGGGAAGTTCCCTAACTTCAGCAGTGGACGTCTCATGATATCTTAAAACACTGCTGACATCCTCTGAAAACATCTAAAGGAATATGTCCAGTAGCTTTGAATATAATCCTGGATAAAATGTCTTAAATCGTTTGCCGGATGCAAACTTCAGCTGCAGCAACAACCAAAATTGCTGAAAATTTTATTTACATACTTATCAAAGATACCACTAACCTGTATCCCATATCCTCGTCGTAATTGTGCACGTTATTGTGTCCATTGTACGGGCCTGGAGGGTTTGGCGGCTGAGGAGGCGGTGGTGCAGAGTTTGCAATAGGTTTGTTCGCAAGGATCTGCAACACACAGAAATAACAATTCAAATACTGTGGAAGAACGGAATAAAACATCCAACGTACCAACACACTGGCATTTTACAGTATAACTACTACTTTTTTACACGCTTTATATTAGCACACATATCACTTGTATGTTTGTAACCGACTCCTTTGAGCGTGATTTTGACTGACTTTAAACGGTCAGAATTCGTTCAAACTTTGTAGATATATCGAGGACCGATGACAATACACTAATTGCTTGTGTGATGATTGATGTGTGTGAAAAGGGGGGTGCTTTTTACTATTAACAACGGGCACCCAGCGCTTTTTTTCAAATTTATTTTCAAATTTTTTAGTTTGGTTTTCTATAGAAAGCGTGTTTTTCAGTTTTTTAAAACTATAATTTTTTTCGTCTTTTGGGTTGTTAAGTTTTGGAAGCTATACGAATCTTTATCTGCTACAAAATTGTATTTTTATTTAAAATAATGCTGATAATATTGTTCAAGGCTTTACCTCGAGGGTGTGCATCATTGCTCTTGCGAAGCTGTCTGCATCCTCGCGACAGGAAAAGTTGAGGCCGTAGACATGGCGAGCGTCGCGCCACTGATGGAAAGTCGCCGTGGCTTGATTGTATTTCAGGCCGCGAACTATACCACAGTTTATCACCACCTATGAGGAGAAAATAATAAATATACAAAAGGTGATAAGAACGTCCCTTTACTAATGGCTTTTCTAATAACAGAAGGTCAATTCTCGTAATAAAAGTTCGATCACAATTCAGTTCCAGTCAACTTTCGATCTCACATAAAAAGGTAGTTTCGTAGAAATATCTTAACCTTACAGAAGATCTAATGTAGGGTGTATTACAAATACGGATTGTGTTCTTATATGATACCCGAGTCGTTTAGAAAAAGATGGGAAGTTTCTGATATTACTGAGTCTTCCCGATATTGTATGCAACAAGTGCATTGACTTTACATATACTCGAAGGTCCTAATATCGAACCCTGTGGAACTCCTTCATAGATTCCCTTTTATTTAATATTGTAAGCTACATGAAGAAGTATAGAAGGCCTAGTCTGATGACATTATCTTTATCGATGAGAATTGATAAACAGATAAGCGTGACATAGACTGTCATATTTTATCTTTAAATTAACTTTATCTCGTTTTGCTCTGAAATTTTTAGTTAAGTTAATGTATTACAAATCTTTGTATAAAACAATAAATAATGTTTTCATTTCAAGGATTTTTTTGTCCAATGTAGTAAGATGTGACGATTCAAACTGAACGTTTTTTTTTTCAAAGTATATATATAATGTACAATTTATAAAGGCTAAATTTTTTTTCAGGACTAGTGAGTCAGGAGTTATATTAGCTAAGGCGTCGGACTCTTTATCCCAGATTACATGATCCCACTCCAAACAAGCATTTAAGAATTATATTTTAAGAAATATTAATCTCCTTTGTAAGTATTATTTATTTAAAAAAATAGTTGTTTTTCTTACCTCATGATCATTTAGTTTTCTTCCCACCACCCGGAATGTATTGTGCTGCGTGTGATGGTATATATGAACCTTGGAGAGCCCAGAGCTGGATCCTGAGGGCACCCAGCGCTTGAGCCCATCATCGTATACCATCACAGATGCTCTAGCGCTGCTTATCGATTGTTCGCTGCAAAAGAAATAAAAAAAAAACGAGTTATGACGCTGAAGAACAAGAGTAAACACAAATATAAAAGAGGAATGATGACGACTGAAGAAATACATTATTTTTAGCATATATGCTATTATGTGAGAATTGTTTTTATGATAAAAGGGGGGCAAACAAGCAGATGTGTCACATCATAGTAAGTAAAATCGCCACCACACATGGACAACAGGAACTACAAGTCACAAGTGCGTTGCCTCCCCACTCCGGGAATAGGTAGAGGGGTGGTTTGGGGCTCAAGCAACCTCAACTCCAGTTATCGCCGTCCCATTTGTTAAGCATAATTCTGAAAAGTACAATTATGTCGCCAGAGGTTTTCTTATCCGAACAGACTTTGTGATAGCATATATCTCCTGCATCGATGTCCATCTTGACTTCACTGCATCTTAAAAAAGCTTTCGCTTAATTTACAGCTTTTACGCAATAAAGGTATCTCGACGTTTTCGGTGTCTGATCGTAAATTGAATATTTTACTGGCGTTACGACCCTTTGCGACTACGTACATACATTACGTAACGCGGAATGGTTACGTAAACACAACCCACGCTTATCCTACGCGTAACCAAAAGGGCACCATATCAGATTGTAACAACAGTATGATTGATAGTTGCAACCATTTTAAATAGTGTAGGTTGGAGATGTAAAAATTTCGTAATAGTTTTTATATTGCTATGTTTCGGCTGTTTTAATCCGGATTAAGAATACGGAATGTCGCCACCCCTATTCATCCCGTGGGTGTCGTAGGAGCCGACTAAGGGAACAACCTACGCAGGACAACAGCACTGCAAAGAAGATTCCCTTATAAGTACATACCAAGCTAATAAAAGCATGTCAAAAATACACAAAAAAATATTAAAGCATATAATCACAGAGGAGGATCAGTTTTTAAGAAAACATTTCTACGTTAACCTCGAATTTACTAAAGGATCTGCCACGGAGACATATTTCTTTCATTGTGGTATGCCTTCGTCTATCGTACCTTTATTATTTTATTACTGGATAACTTAAAACCTCACGATACAACTATTAAACAAAACCCTTGCAAACAAAAATACTATTTAAATAATATATATTGCATATTCTATTCTATTTAATTGTATATTTAATATATATTCTATTAGTATGTAATAACATACTAATAGAATATATGTTAAATATACTCTAAACACCAGCAAAAATAAACAAGATACACCCATGTAAAATCAATAAAAAAGTATAATACCTTTATAAATATATGTTGTTAAATAGAATTATATTTCTTACATATTATATATTATAGTATATGTATCTATTTACTCATGATACAAAAATATGAAAATTTGTTTTTAGTTGTGTGAACAAGTCGATGTTAAGGTTTCCTGCCTGGTTTCCACTTGCTCTCTCCTAACCTTTTGCTGTGTCCCACAGGGTCCATAATGTTTCTGTATTTTTAGATCATTTATGTACATTATGGAACGCCATAAATGATTGGATATTTATATAACAAAGCTCAACTTATGTATGACGTACCCAACAATCAGGCAACGCGGTAAATAATAACAATATTAAAATTAATCCTATTTAAATCGAGACTGAGTTTACGAGGATAATAATTAAATAAACATTACGAAAGTTACGTAAATACATCAAGGTAAACTAAATATTTAATTGATATGTAGGTCATACAACTGATGGAGATTAAAAGCAAGGCTTAATAGATAGTTAGAACTTAAGTATATTTAAAAGACCTCAAGTTTCACTTCAAATTGGTGAAAATAAGAAGTAAAGTATAGATATTTCTGCTGTTTTGTTACCATGAGAGTAAGGTGAAAAATTTATTCACTGTTCGTTACTTTTCTGTTATACAAGTATAATGCCGAAACACACACTTATTTTGATTGAGATGTAGAATTTGTCAAGTTAGGGCTTATAGAGTTAGGACGTGTAGAGCTTGGCCTGGGGGTGGTAGGCGAGGCCATCTGTCACCCTAGCAGAAGCAGGCCGGGGTGGTGGCGAGACGCACTGCGGAGCGTGCGCCCTTTCGGGAGCACAAAGGGGACATAAGGGTTCCCACACGGGAGGGGGTCATCTACACGCCGTAGATGGCCCGATCTATAATATGTATTTATTTAGAGATATATAAGAATGTTTATCAGCGACTGAAATTAGGCGGAGGCGGCTAATTAACCAAGTCTGGTTACCATAGCACAGGCTCCGCTTAATTTGGGATCAAACAGCCGTGTGTAAGATGTGTGAGGTTATTATCATTATATTATGTAGTATGGATATCAGCAGTCTGGTTACCATGGTATGATTCAAGCGAATAGAAGCCATTGTTTTTTTTTAATTATATTTATATTTTTGTCCTTTGCAAATTGGTAGAAAACATTGAAGACTATCTTTTTATATCTATACAATCATAAAACCAGTTATTTTCACAAAATCCATATATTTAATCCACACTTTTAACAAAATATTTGTCCGTCTGTTTTTCGTCTCATCTCCTGAACGGCTGGACCAATTTCTGCGGCACTTTCACAGTAAAAGATCTAGAATAGCGTAAGCCGCTTCAATCACAGCTAGTTATTTATTTATCACCAAATCAAGAGCAGTATAATTACACAACAAGCAAAGCACTCGAGCAGCAACGTGGGTCGCGATTACCACAAAAGGTCATACCAGTAACGGGACGCCTTTTCGTATTACATGACCGGATTTAACCTAAGTGGGTAGTACTTAACCCACATGTATTTCAAGCAAATTGGCTTTTCGATGTTCGACAAATTGATTTTATTTGGTGTGTGCGTATTTAAATTTATTTTGATTATTATATTTGATGGCACTGATGGCGTTGTGATTTTAGCGATCGCCAAGCCGCTTTCGACTGCGCTGAGTGTTATGGGTTTGATCCCCACATGGGTTACCACTTTGTGTGATCCACAAATTGTTGTTCTCAGTCTGGGTGTTCTTCGTGTACGTTTTATATATGTCTGTAAAGTCCCCCGCGACACAGGATATATATTCCTAATGCGGCAGTTGTCTTTTAAAAAAAATAAGGAATAATTAATATCTTAAACAAGGTAGATTTATTGGAAATAACTTTACAGGAACTGCATACAAAAGGTACAAATATTGATATTTTATGTTTTTCTGAAACTTTCATAAAAAGAGGATCAGAAAGTAACTAAATACTAAAAAATTACAAATTAGTGTCAGCTTTCTCAAGACCTCACCAACGACGAGGAGGTGCATGCATAATGGTTAAAAAGGACCTTGAATGTAAACCCATCCTCAACTTAGTTACGCCTTTACTATATGATTTCGAATATTGTGCAATAGAAATTATCACTCTTAAAGTCTTTGTTATCTGTATTTACCGTACTCCGAATTCAAATTTAAGTTTGTTTTTAGAGAATCTAGAATTTATCTTAAGGAGAATAACAAAACGAAATAAAAATAACATTATACTATGCGGGGATTGGAACATTGACGCATTAAAGCGTCATAATAATTATAAAGAACTAGAATTTGTCTTCGATAACTATAATATTACTAACCATATCACTAAACCCACTAGAAAAGCATCATGTATAGATCTCATCGCAAGCGACATACCTAATGTTCAGCCTCAAATACATATTCTTGCATTATCTGATCACGAGACCGGTCAGTCCATTTCTTTCCAGTCATCTGTAGATACTACGAAATGTAGGAAAGAATTTTGGTTTCAAAAGAGAAGAGATATAAGTCAAAACAACATAAAAAAGTTTATATCATGCATATCGTCCCTTTCCTTTTCAGAAATATACGAGTCAGATGATACTAACACAGCATTCAATCATTTTCATGAAACACTGTCCCTTTTTTATAATCTCTGTTTCCCCATCTTGAAAGTAAAAATAACAAACAAACCGCAAATAACTAAATGGATGACAAAAGGAATAAAAAGATGTTGTGTAAAGAAAAGAAGTATGTACCTAAAATATAGACTGTTAAATTCTAATAAAAACCAACACCTAAAGAACTACCGAAAGTACACTAGAAAATTGAGACGATGCATATTACATGCCCAGAAAATTGACAATACTCGTTACATACTTCAATCGGACAATAAATGTCGAGCAGCCTGGAACATTATAAAAAAGAATAGTACCGATATCGATAATAACGCTGACATTACTTCTATAAAAATTGAACGCATATATACTCACGCCGATATAATTGCAAACAAATTTAATGACTTTTTTATTAACATGACAAACGAACCAAAAATCTGCATTTCTGAAACACCCATTAATTACAAACATACCCTCACTGACATCTCGGATACCATATTTTTAACTCCAACTAGTGAAGATACGGTGTATAAAATTATTAATTCTTAAATCTAACTAACTCCACCGGGTATGACGACATTAATACCAAAATTCTTAAACGTTGCTCTAAATTTATATCTCATCCACTTACCTATATTATTAATCTATCATTATTTCAAGGTTTATTTCCCAACAGACTAAAATATTCTATAGTCAAACCATTACACAAAAAAGGAGATAAAACTGACATGAATAACTTAGTCTTAATGAGAAAAGGCAAATATCATCAATATTTCTTAATATGTCAAAAGCGTTTGACTTCGTAGATCACAAACTGCTTCTCTATAAATTAAACCGTTATGGTATTAGAGGAAATGCGTTACACTGGTTAGAGACTTACCTAAATAATCGCCAACAATGCGTGGAGATATCTAGACACATATTATCAGAAAAGAAAGTGTATAGATCCGCCTATCGCCAAAACTCGTGTGGCGTTCCCCAGGGCAGTATCTTGGGGCCCCTATTGTTTTTGCTATATATTAACGATTTGCCCAATGTAACCCCATATTCATGCATTCTATATGCCGATGATACAACCCTTAGTATTGAGCTCATCGATAACAATTTCACTAAATACGAAAAAGAGATTAATGACACGTTAAACAAAAT